CCATTAAATTAGCCCTCCATCAGCGTCAAATTAATTCTAACTTATCTTATTAATTAACAAAACTGACAAATCCTTGGGTTTTAGAAACCAATTAAAACGACACCAAAATTGTTCTTAGAAATATGCGAAAGTTTTAAAGCTGAAATAAAGATACTGTAGGATAAAATTGTATTCGAGAATCCTAATCCTCAAGGTAAATTTATTTGTCTACAAGATTCCCACTCACATTTTGTTTCGGAGCGTTGCGAGATTGCGATTAGCGACAAGCGACTTAGCTGGGAAACGAGCGGTCGGTTTTTCTCTAGCATCGATTTAGTTAAGAGTATACTTTCTAGAGCTGATTTAGCGAAGCATGAAGCGGCGCGGCGAAAAGAAAAAGAGAAGCCCGACGAGAGACACGCAGAGGACGACGGGGTATCGATCGAGAAAGTGTCACGTGCGCGACGCGAAGAGAGGAGACTGCATTCGGGGCCGAGGAAATATTCGCGCGGCTAAACGTGCAATCTGAATGCACATGTGTATGCGTGTGTGTTCGTGCGCGTGCGAAAAGGGACTCCAATGGGGTAAACGGATACCAACGAGAACGAGCGTGTGCGCACTCGGGGACACAAATAGAGCCGTTCTTAACTTGGCTCGATTACACCATGCGGGTCACGGGGAAATTACCGAGTCGCTTACATGCACGAGACCGGGAAGGCGATTAAACTTTCCGTCGGATATTTCTTGCCGTCACGAATAATAAGCAGCTTTGAATTAATAAGATAGAAGGAGAGCGCACACACTTACGCGAAAATGGATGCTATCCAATCATACCCTAGACTATTATTTCAGCAAAAAAATATCGATCATGTGATTTCGATTATTACAACGTACATGATGTCTCGAAAGTTCTTCTATTAAGATCAGAAATTTTTATATATGGCAGGAATTAATAGGAGCGATGATACAACATTGAATATTAGAGTATTCAGTATATATAGCCATTCTTTTCTTTTTTCTTCCAGGAGGTATTTGTCGTATACAATAAAAATGATAAAATTTGCGGACGACTTTTTTTTTAAAGCTGGAAGCGAAAGGATTGAAGGACATGCAGTTTCTTATCATTCATCCGCGATTAAGCGGTTTCGGCGAACAGTGATTACTGCCGGTGTGTTTAATTTGCATGACAATGCGGTTGTTTTGTCCATCGGCATGCATGTTTCTTCACATTACGCGCTCTGACAATCGAGAAAGTATCGCGCTTTGGGGTATTTTGACTCTTAATCGAAATATCTTATAGAAAAATCAGGATTCGTTTGTACAATATAATGCTTTGCGAATTGCTAATTTATTTTATTTAGCATTTACATGAACTCTTGCAACTTTTTATACCTTGTATAACACGACTCTTTCTCCGTAACATATACGATATCGGTGTTTTCTGTCAGATATTGCGCATGTGCTAAGAAATATTTCTCGATCGTAACGCCTACGATATTACACGCATTATCATATCTTTGCGGAGAAATGTTGCTGTCTCGATTAAAAATAAAAAAAAAAACCGTGCTTTGGGATTTTTTTTCGCGCTCACATGTTTCCGCTGCGTGCACATATGTGCATTACTTATGTTAATATATTCGGAAATATTCCGTAATGACCCTAAGAGTATATCATGGCGCGTGAGGCATTAGCATCGTGCCTTGACAAGTCGTGCAACGTATGTCAGATAACACATGTATGAAGGAAAATCGTCCGACCGACCTTTAAACGTCTATTTAAAGCACTCTTCGCCCCATACTCGCTATTTTGATTGCGACGTGCTGCGAGTTGAAATACAAAAAGGCTGATAATGGGAATTTATACGCGATATTTCGCGGATTAAGGCTATTACATAAAAAATACGATATAATATAGAAATATTTTCTCAGAAGAGAACCTTTTTCTTTAATAGCATTGATATTTTATAATTTTACATAACATATTAAATTTTATCTTTTTTTTTTTAAATTTAGTAACATTTATATCTCCAAAATTCTTATTTTAGAAATGTATTTCACATATTAATTTGAATTTAAAGAAAACTATTATTATATTAGAGTTTTGTCTTTTTTAAATTATAGTAATTGGAATGATTTATTAATCAAAGGAAAACAAATCTTTTTTGCATAAAGTTGCATAAATATATTAGTCATTTTTATAGTTTTTAATAGCTTATTCCATTGGATAAAGTCTGGAATAGTACAAACCGGAATTTACCATGGTTTTTTCCATTCTGGACTTTTCCGATCAACTCTGACTTTTACCTATAAATGGCAACATTATTACAAAATCGTAGTATCTTATTCGTTTTTACACATAACGTCGGCGTCACCGGAAACGACTAAACAGGTGTTTGCGCCAGCTGCAATCGCCCTCGCTATGCTTCGTCACGAATCCCTTCTCTGTTCCGTCTTCCTTTTCGCCTTGTCTTCGTTTCTCGTCTGCGTCCATGCTTTCTAAAAGGTCGATAGTTATTTTCGGCGCTGCGTCATATAAGCAACGAAATTCCTCCATGAATTTTCACTTTTGGAAGATAAAAGCATTCCTCTGTTTGTCGATACTCGTGTCTAACAATTAGCAGTATAATTATGACCAATAATGATAAACGATATTATGAATTCAATATTAAAATATTGAAGATTTGACGACACGAAAAAATGCCGACAAGTCTACTATGTGGCTCATTGCTTTTCATTTACAAATGGATTGCTGTTATATAAATTCTTAAGGCTGTATTATGTAAAATCAATTACATGAAGATAAGAATTTACACAAAAAAATGTGTTCCTTACATTTTATTATTTTTTATCATTTATAATAGTGTGTTCGGGCATTTTATGTGAATTGGAACTGACCGGATGGTAATTTTGGTTTGCAGCGTGGAACGAGACCGGCTTCGGGAGCGAGAGCGACAGGCACGCGCGGCGATGTCGGTCCAGGCAGAGCAGGCGGCTGCGGGAGGCGGTCCTGATACGAGACATCATCATCACCACCACCATAACCACGTGCATCATCATCACGCCAACATACATGTCTCCACACCGAACCTCTTCCGTGGTGGTCCCGTCAGAGTGAGTACATTTTCCATTTATTTCCCGTCTGCGACCGACGAGACTTTTTCCACCACGCGTGGTTTCGTATGTACTCGTGTATGGCGTTATTGATTATTTCTTTGGGAATATTCAGCGAATACTGATTCGTTCACAAACGGAATTCACATAAATACTTCTGTTTAATTTTTATTTCTAATATATTTTAAAATATAATGGAGATACGCGCAGTCTTGCTTAGAGCGAGAGAGAAAATTTAGATTAGTTTTAAAAAAATCACATTATTATTGCTAAATATTTTAAAGTATCGCGCTTTGGGGTATTTTGACTCTTAATCGAAATATCTTATAGAAAAATCAGGATTCGCTTGTATAATGCTTTGCGAATTGCTAATTTATTTTATTTAGCATTTACATGAACTCTTGCAACTTTTTATACCTTGTATAACACGACTCTTTCTCCGTAACATATACGATATCGGTGTTTTCTGTCAGATATTGCGCATGTGCTAAGAAATATTTCTCGATCGTAACGCCTACGATATTACACGCATTATCATATCTTTGCGGAGAAATGTTGCTGTCTCGATTAAAAATAAAAAAAAAAACCGTGCTTTGGGATTTTTTTTCGCGCTCACATGTTTCCGCTGCGTGCACATATGTGCATTACTTATGTTAATATATTCGGAAATATTCCGTAATGACCCTAAGAGTATATCATGGCGCGTGAGGCATTAGCATCGTGCCTTGACAAGTCGTGCAACGTATGTCAGATAACACATGTATGAAGGAAAATCGTCCGACCGACCTTTAAACGTCTATTTAAAGCACTCTTCGCCCCATACTCGCTATTTTGATTGCGACGTGCTGCGAGTTGAAATACAAAAAGGCTGATAATGGGAATTTATACGCGATATTTCGCGGATTAAGGCTATTACATAAAAAATACGATATAATATAGAAATATTTTCTCAGAAGAGAACCTTTTTCTTTAATAGCATTGATATTTTATAATTTTACATAACATATTAAATTTTATCTTTTTTTTTTTAAATTTAGTAACATTTATATCTCCAAAATTCTTATTTTAGAAATGTATTTCACATATTAATTTGAATTTAAAGAAAACTATTATTATATTAGAGTTTTGTCTTTTTTAAATTATAGTAATTGGAATGATTTATTAATCAAAGGAAAACAAATCTTTTTTGCATAAAGTTGCATAAATATATTAGTCATTTTTATAGTTTTTAATAGCTTATTCCATTGGATAAAGTCTGGAATAGTACAAACCGGAATTTACCATGGTTTTTTCCATTCTGGACTTTTCCGATCAACTCTGACTTTTACCTATAAATGGCAACATTATTACAAAATCGTAGTATCTTATTCGTTTTTACACATAACGTCGGCGTCACCGGAAACGACTAAACAGGTGTTTGCGCCAGCTGCAATCGCCCTCGCTATGCTTCGTCACGAATCCCTTCTCTGTTCCGTCTTCCTTTTCGCCTTGTCTTCGTTTCTCGTCTGCGTCCATGCTTTCTAAAAGGTCGATAGTTATTTTCGGCGCTGCGTCATATAAGCAACGAAATTCCTCCATGAATTTTCACTTTTGGAAGATAAAAGCATTCCTCTGTTTGTCGATACTCGTGTCTAACAATTAGCAGTATAATTATGACCAATAATGATAAACGATATTATGAATTCAATATTAAAATATTGAAGATTTGACGACACGAAAAAATGCCGACAAGTCTACTATGTGGCTCATTGCTTTTCATTTACAAATGGATTGCTGTTATATAAATTCTTAAGGCTGTATTATGTAAAATCAATTACATGAAGATAAGAATTTACACAAAAAAATGTGTTCCTTACATTTTATTATTTTTTATCATTTATAATAGTGTGTTCGGGCATTTTATGTGAATTGGAACTGACCGGATGGTAATTTTGGTTTGCAGCGTGGAACGAGACCGGCTTCGGGAGCGAGAGCGACAGGCACGCGCGGCGATGTCGGTCCAGGCAGAGCAGGCGGCTGCGGGAGGCGGTCCTGATACGAGACATCATCATCACCACCACCATAACCACGTGCATCATCATCACGCCAACATACATGTCTCCACACCGAACCTCTTCCGTGGTGGTCCCGTCAGAGTGAGTACATTTTCCATTTATTTCCCGTCTGCGACCGACGAGACTTTTTCCACCACGCGTGGTTTCGTATGTACTCGTGTATGGCGTTATTGATTATTTCTTTGGGAATATTCAGCGAATACTGATTCGTTCACAAACGGAATTCACATAAATACTTCTGTTTAATTTTTATTTCTAATATATTTTAAAATATAATGGAGATACGCGCAGTCTTGCTTAGAGCGAGAGAGAAAATTTAGATTAGTTTTAAAAAAATCACATTATTATTGCTAAATATTTTAATGTCGATCTTGCTAGTTAATATCTATCTTGCTATGACTAATATTTTAAATATAACTGCGAGCGTCACTAGCGTCACTAGCTAATCTAACTAACGCTATACCGCGATAAAGTATTTCTGCAAATGGAAATTAAAACAGTTACTGTACCGGCCATTAATTCATTTTCCACGATATAATGTTTTTCTCTCTCTCTCTCTCTCTCTTTTTTGATGAAGAGGCTAGCGTTGTGTGTCAGTTAAATTGACACACCGAACGTTTCGCGGCTTTTTTTTTTTCTCATTCACCGGGATGACGTTAAAAATGTTTCTGCACGGGGAAATGAAAGTAGCGACGAATGCTGACCTGTCGATCAATTTTGCCGCACACGATTGCATCTCGTCGTGTGCATTTAACGTTATCGAGTTCTAAAACGAGCAGATCTATTTTTCCTATTAAATGGCATTCTATTAAGCACGATTTTGCTTACTGTTCCGCGATAGTTGCAAAGTCGCGAATAATTAAAGAGATAGAGGCGAGAAAATCGGGCTGACGTCCTTTTCTTCTTATCGCTCGTCATCTTTATTCAGGTAGGATCCCGACCTTTCACGTTGTCCGATCGCTTAATAGATTTTTCTCTTGGCGTTTTAAGAGCCATCTTGCCCCTTTTCCCCGCATCTTTTCACTTCCGTCTAGTTAGTTAGTAATCGAAGGCACTTCGCCAAGTAGATTCACTGACCGCTTCAATTAACGTTAACCGATAGCCTTTCGCTCTGGTCTTCGCCTTGTATATAAATCCACCATAATTTGCGGCGTTTTAATGAATCTTCTTTCAATCACAGCCATTAATGATATTCGATTTAAATCTGTGAATAAAGTAGTTATCGGAATTCTCGCTTGGTCTTTAAAATATCGAGAGCAATAGCAGGTATATTACTATTATTAAGCATGCGGATAAAAATCGCGAAAATTCTACGAATGATGAGTTTAAAAATTCGCAATAACATATATTTATCGACGTCGATATGTGGAAAATCCCAATCACGTAGTCACTTAAGCGTTACAACAGAATAACTGCGCGATTAATGTACGATTTAATCGAAACATCATCGGATTTTACGCAAAATCTTTCTGCAAACAGAAACGTGTTTCAATGTAAATATAGCTTCTGTTGTTCATCAAAATTTTATAATTTTACAATTTGATATATTGCGATAAAACGCACAATATAATTATATTTGCATCGAGATTTTTCAATTTTTGACGTCGAGAACTTCAATTGTTTTTTTTACGACATTTATCGTTTATACGTATGTATAACCACGAATTAATCATCACATATTAACGTAATATATTGCACGTAAATTGACGTTTTGTGCGGTTTATACATATATTTTCAAAAGCATGTAAGATTCGGTTTCTTTAAACTGTCTTTTCGCGCGTTTTCCTTTGTTCAATCGCGGAAAATTTCATGGCCCTCACAATCTTTAAAGCTTTTCCGACTACAATCTCGAATCCGGCGCGGACGATAGCGGCAGCTGCTGCTGCCTTGAGGGCCTACAGGGAAACCTCATATACGGCCGTTATGGCGAAGTCAAGGACCCGTCGGGTCTTTCTCGTGGCTCGTAAACATGACCTTCTTCTTTCCCCCTTATTCCTTCCTCTCTCCTCACTTTCGCCTTCTGGTTTTATTCGCGCTGTTCTTCTTCGGGATTGCTTTGGCCGAAATTTATTTCTAATCTACGATGCTCCAGCTAGGAAAAGGATGATCCCTTTTTCGGGGAGAATCGTGCTATAAATATAGATTGAAAAACACGAGTTTGCGCGCATTTGACTTTTTAACCGATTATTAAGAAAAAGGATCGTTTTAGATAACGTCTGTCTATTTGACAATTTTGAAAGTAGTTTTGGGTAGTAGAATTTTACGAATAATGGTTCTCAGTTATATACACTTAGCGAGTTTTTTTTTACGGATAGTTGCCCTCAAGATTCAGACTTATGGGAGAATAAAATTAGCTGTTATATCGAAGAAAAAGGAATCGTTTTATTACAGCAACGGCGACGAAAGCACCAATCCATAAAATTATTATTAATTTCCGCGATTGAAATTTTTTTTCGATTTTACAACCGGTCTCTACATGATTGCGATATGAGATTAAAATTGACATTTGATTAAATCAATCGACTTTATCGCGTCCCGAACAGTTTTACATACGCGATAAAAACGAAAGAAAAATTCATCAAATTCAGTTTTCTTCGTCTTGTTAAGCCGCTTAATTATATAATAGCATTCTCTCATTACACACTCGCGCACGACGCCGCCCCGGCTTTGGATCGTTAATACTATTTCTTTTGCGGGGTGCGAATGAACCCCAGTTGTGCTCCGATTGGCTCTTTCGCGTACTCAACAGGTGTTTTCTCGACTTTTAATCTTTCCTAATGAGCATTTTACGAGACTGCAGTTAGAGCCGATCCAATTCTCTCAAATATTGTGTGTCCGAGTTCTTAATCACATTTTCAATATATATTTTATTGACGCATATATACATCTTTACTAGAGCAAAGAATCTTGATTTTTTTAACATGACTCCGACAATCGCATAAGTGTATGTATTTCTTAAAATATAGAAAAACTTATTTATATAATTTTTTCCGTATATATTTTATTCATATATATACTTTTACATACACAATATTTTGGATGTATATTGTGTGCATGTTATTCGCATTGACGTTATATAAGTTGCTCATAAATTTGTCGAAACAAATGACAGAATCAAAGACAAGCCGCGTATGTCAGTTTCTAAATACAGTTATTCCGAGGGGAGACATGTCGTCCGTTTCTTTGCTGAAACATGGCTGGGAAGTTCCCGATAGAAGTGCAACGCGCCGGTTCCATAACAACCATAACTGTAACTGCGCGTTAGTAACCGTACGATGAGTCGCGAAGCCGCTTGGCGTCTTCGTCGTCCAGGCGGAACGCAGAAACGGGAAGCTCCGCGGCAACTCTCTCAGAAGGAGAAAGAGAGAAAAGGAAAGCGGATTGGAAAAGGAGAAGGGAATGGGATTGAGAGGACGGGGGAGAAAATGGCGCCGGTTTCTTACGGGTTCGATCAGCTTTTACGACTTCGGTTCTCTTTCTCTCACACACATACCGCACATTCTCTCCTTCTCTCTTTCTGTCTCTTTTACGGTTCCCTCTTTGAAGCGCAGCCGCAAACGGAAAAACGGATTCCGCGACTTTTCCGCGGTGTGTCACGTAACGCGTCCTCGGAATACCGTATCCGGATAGCGCATTTTCAATATTAGGGAACGTGATGTGCTGATGCGTCACGTAAGGACGACGTGAAATATCGTCTACAATCTGCGCGATTATTCTCGCGCGCCGCGAAAATATGCACGCGCGCGTTGACGTACGAACACTATAGTCCCCGAATTGATTAATGCGAAAACGCGGTATGTGAATTATTGGGTTTTTTGAATGAACGGTAGATTTAAATACCGCAAATAAACGGAAGAGACGTCTAAGAGTTCGCACACATACGTAGATTTATATTGTCTGGAAAATCTTAAAAAAAGTACGCTCTATAGTTCAAGAATCAATACCGTAGACTCTTCTAATAAGCTATAGTAATAGGACTAAATATGTTTAAATAAATAAATTATAATAAATTAATAAATATAATACATTATTTTCTTATATTAACATGAAATCTGGAAAGGAAAGATTCACTATTTTTAAAGTTAAGAATCACGCTTTGCTTTCAATATATCGTTCTTTTTCTTCTTCTACTTCTCTGTGTTTTCCTTTTGAACTTTGCGCACATCTCTTCATTGAAATAGGAACTTACATTTTACGCTGTTATGTTCCTACGTCTATTGGGGATTGTTATCCCGATTGTTCGTCGTGAAAATTCCCACGAGTATGCGCGCGCGATATAGTTTATCCGTGTTCCACCTCACTGTTCAAAGTTCGCCGAAGTTAAAGCTCGCTAGTTGGGAGATTATTCGGTCGGATAAAACGATACGGATCGACTTAGGAGAGACGCTATTAGCCGTGTCCTAGTGAAGCCAGAACCTACGATCTCTAATAGTCGATACAATTAATGCACCGTGATCTTGTATCTTTTATCGATGCGGCCAAAACAAAAGACAAATTAATTAAGAATTAAATATCATGGTTACAATATAAAATACCCACTTTCCTTTTTTTATTAAAAAAGAAATCTATTTATCGCGTCCGAAATCTAAATTCTAAAATAATACCGATTTTTCAATTAACGGTCTTTTAACTTCGATCAGCATCCGATCGCGAAATACGATTATGGAGTCTCGTCGGAATCTTGCGGATGGAGCACCTCGGCATGCGAGTCATCCGCGCGGACGGAAATAAAGATGCTGTACGTGCGAGGAGAGGGCGTTATTGCGTGGCTCGGCTGTTCGAGCGAGAAGTGGCTACGACGTTCAGTGGAGTCGTGCGTATTTATTACCGAGATTAACGGCGCACATTTGCATCTTTATATAGCGAGAACCGTGTCCGGCGAAAATTCGCTGCGAGCGTACGATCGCGAAAGAGAGAGACAGAGAGACATTATGACAGGTATTTCGTGCGCATTCGATGCGATATATGGCTCATACGCAATAATGATCAAATCTATTTTTCAAAGGGGCCAAAAATTACAATATCAAATAAATAAATAAATAAATCGCAACTCGATATTTTTCAGAGCGAGAATAATTTTT